GCATTGTGGTTAATGTGACTTGGCAAAGGAAACAGGGCTGTTTCTGTCAGTGTATGTAGGTCACTCCAAAAGTAATGCCTCCTAGTGGCTGGCAGCTCTGCACATAACAGAGGGGTTGAAACTGTGTGATCTTTATGGTCCTTTTCAACCCAGGCCGTTCTATGATTCTGTGATGATGGTCTTTTGTGCTGCTGAAGCACACCACCCGCACCTCACTGTGCTTACATCCACCAGTTGGTCTCTGTAAACATTCAGCAAGTGTTGGTAAATGTCAGTTAGTGCTAATTTTTCTGCATGGAGAAATATAGTGGCAGCCATTTGTTTTATAAGCACTTCCATGTCCAACACAATTTTGTCTGACTCTGCTGCTGTCTCTGTTGGGCAACAAAATGTCACAGGATATTGGTAGGAAGGTTCAACCTCAACTGCCATCCCACCGACATCTGCCTCTGACTTTGTGGGCTGACAGAATAAAATAGGAGCATTTCTTTTGGAGCAGCCCTCATAGAAGGCAAAGCACTGCCTGACACTGTTGAAAGGCATCAGTGCCATGGAGTAAATCAAACCCCAGCTATGTTGGCAATGGGAAAAGTACTCTTGTGGCTTTTGTGTTGCTCCACGGTTGTGAAACCTCCCACCCTGCACAAGGCAGTCTCATTACCCTAAACTTTGCAGCACTTCCACCCTGTGAGCCATGGCTGTGTTTCTCCTCATTGAGACCCTCTAGCTGCTGACGAGAACAGATGTGGTTAGCAATGCACTTGCTCCTGCGGTTGACTGAAGCTTGATTCCCTGCTGAATCAGGATTGTCTGTCATCAGCTCCTTTCTGTCCAGAAGAGATGTGCCCTGCAGTTACATTGCTAGTTATCCCAGTCAACTTGATGCACCTTTATGGAGTCATGTCCTTTACAGACTCCTCCTATTGTTTTCAAAACGTGTAGAGTCACTATAGAGTCTTGAGTTGTGCTTGAGAGATTATGACACGGGAGACTCGCTTTTGTGGTACAAGCTGGGAAGCTTCCTTCCTTATAGCTTCACTATAACCAGGGATGAAGGGTCTGTATGGGCCAGTTCTCAGCCAATTCCTGAAGGCCTGAGGAAATTTGTATCTCAAAATGAAACAGCCATGTGGTCCAGTGATGACTCGGAAGATCAGATTGAGAAGGGCATGCAGAGTATGAAAAGGCTTCTACTGATGGAGAAGATGTCTTGCTTCCAATAAAACATAATTTCTCTTTAATATGAACTAGAGCTTAGAATTTTTCAAGAAACATCTGTAGTTGTCGTTTCTGTAGTGAGCCTGTGCTACTTCTCTGCTTCTTGTCAGCTTCATTTGCTGAAGGCTTCCTCTGAAGGAGCAGGAGAGAGAGCTGCCTGCAAAAAGAATGCTTAGGAACCGGTGCATTCATGTGCTTTGCCCTTGTTGGACTGAATGCCTGCAAGGATGATGGAGGTGTAAATTAGAAATACAAGCTGGAAACAGAAGAGGAAACAACATTTTGGAGAAACAAATGTTAGTCTTGGTAATAACTTAGAATTAAAAGTACGTCTTCTTGTCTGCTTATTTCTCCCCTTAGATTGCAGACAGTCAGTGAGGGAAGAAGAAGGAACAGTAACTATCAACAGGAGAGGAGCTATCAAGCAAGCAAAGATCCACTACATCAAAAATCATGAATTTATTGCTACCTTCTTTGGACAGCCCACATTTTGTTCTGTCTGCAAAGAGTTTGTATGGTAAGAAGGAAGCTCTAACCTTCCCGCACCCCCAGAGGATAAATATCTGTAACATTGCCCTCATATATTGAAGTAAAACATAGATGTAAATTCATCAGTAGTACAAGTTAGAAAGTATTTACTCTCTCAGACTTTGGGATATGAAGTATCTGATAGCAGAATAAAGACCCATCAAGAGCAAGAAGCTGGATCAGTTTGGTAGGGAAGTCATTTTAACAGTAAGCCAAATCAGGAGGAATTTCCCTGTGATTGAAGCTTTGGTTTTTTTCTGTGTTCTCCTGCTAATTTGATAGCCTTTCAGAACATACTGCTTTTATTTCTAAGTCTTGTCTTCCTATGGCAGTGGGTTCTGAATACCAGAACCTAGACCAGTTCATTAATGGGACCAAATGGTCCCATGGATGAAGGAATTGAATGACATAGTGAAAATAGGAAAAAAAACCAAAACATTTGTATTGTAGCAAGCATGTACTTACGTGATTTCCTTCTCTGTCATTTGTTTTTCAGGGGACTGAACAAACAAGGATACAAATGTAGGCGTAAGTTGAATTCTGTCTTTTTATTGTATTACTTCCTACATTATTTTATAGATCTAATTTTACAGATCCATTAGTGACCTTAGGAAGAAAATCCTGTAAATTTGCACAAACATCTACGTCATCAGTAGATGCCAAACATAAATTTTGTGTCATGATCTAAAGTTGCCTAGTTGTGATTCCTACCTGAAATTTTAGTACCAAGATGTAGACAGAACTATTCTTCTAATGTGTGTGTAATACACTGGGAAAGCTGCACTCATACATGACAGCTGCTTTTGTGAAACCTTTTGTCAAATGAATTACAATTACTGATGGATTTTGCAGCTGAATTCAAAAGTACTTCATAACTTAGAGTAGATCTCTGTGTGTTATTTCAAATAGCAGGGGAGGTGTCAAAGAGGATCAAAAGCCTAATATTGTCCTCATATCATCAAATTCTGGTGGCATTATCTAATGGAGACACATTTGTTTTAGAAATAGAGGCTATGACACAAGAGGATGAAAGGGAAGCTGCTTTAAAAAGATCATATTGATAGAAATGGTTTGGTACGATGGTATGATGATGTGTTTGTCATGTTGTGCTATGAAATGCAAACACCTCATCCTGTGTATTCATTATCTGAAGAAATCCTTTTTTTTTTTTTTTTTTTTTTCCTTGTACATGTCATGAAGAGTGCAACGCTGCTATTCATAAGAAATGTATTGATAAAATCATTGGGAGGTGTACTGGTACTGCAGCCAACAGCAGAGACACGATGGTAAGAGCTGGCACAGCGTCCTTGGAGTGTAGCTACGTACTCCTGAGCTAACAAAGCCCTGTATGGAAACAGGCAGGTCCATTCCGGGGGGTGTTAAGAATGGATTTGAATATGTAGTGGGTGAAACTTGGAAGTAAACAAGAAAAAAAAATGGTAGTTAAAAGCCCTAGAAGGAGGTGGGCAGTATTGATGGGTGCTTTGCTCCCTGCAATGAAGGATGCATTCGTGGATCAAGAAGGATTTTTGCAGGCTTCAAAAGCCCCAAATACCAATTTTTTTCTCTTGGATGTGTTTTGTGGCATGGTGCATAGCTACACCTAGTGATGTATTGTGAGGGTGGGGTGGCATTGTTTTCCCAGTGTTTTGAGTGTGTGTTGCAGAGACTCTTATCTTTCATCTGTGTTATACGACACCAGTTCTTGGAAGTGAGAGTTGGCTATTGTCAGGACCCCCTAGAATCTCACCTGATTATCTCGTATATATTTTACTCTGTAGCTTCATGTTCTCTGCTAATGTGGTAGGATGTAAAGAGATGCTAAAACCATGTTTTTGTTCAGTAACTGCCCTGTTAGGCTGGGATATGCACCCAAATTCTTACTTGCAGTATCAAGTGGGGTATCCGGGATAAAATTGTTGCAGCTTTGTAATTTCCAAGCTATTTTCTGTAGGAAGCTGGTCCTCCTTTGGGTCGAGTGCCTCACCCATCTCTCTGCCCACAGTTTCAGAAGGAACGTTTCAACATTGACATGCCTCACCGCTTCAAAGTTTACAACTACATGAGCCCTACTTTCTGTGACCACTGCGGCAGCCTGCTCTGGGGGCTGGTCAAGCAAGGACTCAAATGTGAAGGTATGGAGGAAGAGGGAGGGCAGCTGTGACCTCCCACTGCTTGTCCAGCAGGATCACTTTCTCTCTGCCCCCTGCTAGAGATTAACTACCACCACACACTGCATTTGTGTGTTATGCAGAATGAGATTTATCATCCCTGTATTGTTCAAACAGCTCTTTAGGAAAGGGGGACAGCAAGGTGCTTGGCTTGTGTGACAGCTCAGCCAAGCTGAGCATCTCACACAGTTGGAAGACATGCACTGGAGATGTAATCTTGAGCATAATCAAAATTGCTGCTGGGAGTAGCTGAAATCTGGTGAGACTGACTCAAGGTAGCACCTAAAGGGTAGTTAAAGTGTTCTCTGCAAATAAGATTTCTGTAGTTCTGTCACAAAAATGTAAGATGATCTTCATTGTAACAGACTTTGAGAAGAATGGTTGAAACCTTTTTTTTGTATTTTTGTAGCCTTCATTGTTTTAAAGATAAAAATTTTAACTTTTATTTGTAATCATAGATTAATGTCTAACCTGGGCTTGCTGTAATTCTTATGAACTGCACTGAAAAAAAAGCCATTTTGTTGTAATCTCAGATGTTATTTTCCTGGTGCTTGTATAACTGCCCTTAAATTTATTTTAGAATGTGCAATGAATGTGCATCATAAATGCCAAAAGAAGGTGGCCAACCTGTGTGGAATTAACCAGAAGTTGCTAGCTGAAGCTTTAACTCAAGTCAGCCAGGTATGTTTTATTGCCCTTTGTCATTGAATTAGTTGTTTGAGAGCATTTTGGTTTTTATTTTACTTCACCTACTCCACATCACTTCTGTTGGGAATGGAAGTTTGGAACTGAGGGAATGTAAACAACTTTCTCTTCTTAATTTGGCCATTAGGAGAATAACAGTGATGTCAGCACCTTAGAGGTGAAGCTGAGGAGAGAAGCATCCCTCCTGACAAAGAGCTCAGAAAAAGGAGGAGTGTTCTCCCTGAAATGCACCTTGGTTCTTTGACAGTCCCAGGGTTATTTTCTCCCTTTCTGTTTAATTGTGTTCAAAGCATAAAGCTGAAGTCTGTTTTTTCTCGGGCTTCAACTTGAGAATTTCCCTTGAATGCTAAAATTAAGTGTGAAAGGAGAAACAGACCAAATGATTTCAGTTTTTATTAATCTGATACATACAGAAAGAAAATGCCCCTGGAATTAGCACTGGCCCCATAAGTTACCTTGTTGGTCTCCTGCTGCAGTGTGGCTGTTCTTTGTGTACAGACTGCTGTTGACTTCTGAGTTGGAAATTGAGATTCAAACACAAGCTCTGAAATAAAACAGGAAAATATATCACAAAAGCCAACAGTATTTCCTCTCAGCTGAGGCATTCCTTTAGCTTTAACAGGATATTTACTTTGGAAACACAGAGAGCTGTTACACCAGCTTTCACAACACAGAAAAACTTGATGTGCTCATTAGTAGAACGTGATCTCTGAGATCTTCCTACCTCAAATTCCTTTACATGTGCTAAAGAAGGATGTCACACGCTGACTCTGGTGTGTCCAGAACTGCAGTGGTTCCCATCTCCTCTTTCAGAAAAATCAACACAAGTCCAGGGAACAGTTTCCTACAGCAAATTCAAACCAAACAATTATTTTCACTGTGGATTCAAACCTTTTGTCACCTTTTGTAGTTTTTCAGCAAATAACTACACAGACTGCTCAGGATTTCTGGCGATTGTTTTTCTTGCAGTGAAAGAAGTAAAGTGATTGGCTGAGCTGAAAAAGTGTGGCTAAATAGCCTGTGAACTAGAATTCTACAGGAGAGATGTGCTGGGAGTTAATTATTGAAAAGCAAAGATTGTACTGCCATCACACTGCATTTACCAGCTGTTGTTGTAGATATTGCTGAAGTACCAGTGTCAGTAGAGCTTAAAGTGTTCCCTTCCTCCTTAGAAGTCCACACGAAGGTCTGATTCTGGATCTGTAGAAAATGTTGGTATTTACCAGGATTTTGATAAGAAACTTCGAGGTCCAGGAGGGGATACAACAGGTGAGAAAAGCAACCATATTTTCCTCCAGCCATTTACCCACCAGACTGCACAAACTGCTGGTCTCAGTTATTCATTATTGCTTTCTGCTGGATGATCTTTTGAACAAGCATTGTTAAAAATATACACACAGTTTTTACCTGACCAGGCAAAGTGCTTAATAACTTCTTGGCCAAGAGCAGTGTTTTTTCAGTCTATGAGCAAGCCCCCTTTCCTGCAGGACACCTGTGTGTTATCTCCTTGTGGCACTGTTCCTGAGTGGCAGTGGGGGGCAGCTCACTGCTCTGACACCTCTCCACCTCCCCCAAAATGTCACATATGTTGTTAACCATCTTTCTTTGTTCCCAGTATGTAAGAAGCCTTTGTGCAGTGACAACTGCTGTCAACTGTGGAGTTCAAGAGCCAGAACACTAGCTGAGGTTGAACAGCTGAGATAGGATTCCAGATCCCACTTAAATGATCTCAGCAGGTTCAGAATGAGGGTTTATTTGTATTTTTTTACTACTGTTAAAGAGTTCTAGCAGTTAATATATCTGGGTTTAGCAACTTGTGGTTATTTATTCAGATGTAATTGTAACAAAAAGCTGACTTGGTATCAGATGAAAATCTCCAGGCTGAGTAAGAAGTAAATGGTAGTTTCGCAGCTATACACTGAGATGGTTCTGCTGCAATGCCCAGTAAGAAACTGAGTGTCATGTTATTTATCATACTTGTTCTGGTTTGCCAAAAGAGAGCAAGTAACCTCTTGCAAAGGTGGGTTGGTTGAATATTAGGTCAGGATTGCAGCCATTGAGATTTCTGCCTGCTTCAAATGCTGTGCAGCTTGCAGGGTGTATAGAGTATCATCTTGTGATTGTCATCAGTGTCTTGTTGTGACATGGTAGATCTGTGCAGTAGGGATCCAAGGAATTATGTTATTAATTTTAGAATATAATCAAATTTAGCTGTTGTTTTCGTGCTTTTTAGCCAGCATCATCTGTTGCTAGTTGGTGCAGAAGGTGGTCGTCCCCTGTACTCAGCTCTGGCTGAGGTCTCGAGTACTGTGTTCAGTTTTGGGCCCCTCACTACAAGAAAGACATTGAGGTCCTGGAATGTGTTCAGAGAAGGGTAGTGAAGCTGGTAAGGGAACTGGAGTGTGAGTTTTATGGAGAGTGGCTGAGGGAGCCATGATTGGTCAGTCTGGAGGAGTACAGCTTCCTGAAGGGAGGTTGTGATGAGGTGGGGGTTGGCCTCTCTTCCAGGAAACAGCAGTAGGATGAGAAGCAATGGCCTCAAGTTGCACCACGGAGGTTCAGGTTGGATATTTGGAATAATTTCTTCTCCAAAAGAGCGGTCAGGTGCTGCAATGGGCTGCCTAGGGAGGTGGTGGAGCCACCACCCCTGCAGGTGTCCAAGAAACATTTAGACGTTGTACTGAAGGACGTGGTTCAGTGGGGAATAGGTAGGTGGTTGGGCTAGATGATCTTCAAGGTCTTTTCCAACCTTGGTGATTCTTTGATCAGATGCAAACCAGATTTTTTGTGGCCTCTCTCCTCAGACTGGAGGACTAAGCTCTCCTCTCCTGTTCTCCAAATTATGCTCTGTTTCTTAGTGATGAAGTTAGGCTCTTTCATTTTCGTAATGTATGTGTTGCTTAAACCCAGCATCAGAAATGATCACAGATTCCAATCCAACGTTATCAGATGTTCTTGAGTAATTTAAACTCGTTGTAAACTATGTGATTTGACCTGTATGGTTAGATTGGCCAGTGTCCCAGCAGCAGATGAACTGAAATAGGGTGTCATTGAATTGAAATAGTGTCACTACTTCCTAGCAGGGGATCTGAGTTGTGCAGTTTTTCTAAATATACTGAACTTTAACCTCCTTTTTGAATTAGCAGATAACAGCCAATATGATAAACTCTGGGAGGGAAGCTCTGCCAAGCCAGCATCACGAATTGCAAGCAGGAGAAAATTCAATATTGACAGCTTTGTCTTCCATAAAGTACTGGGGAAAGGAAGTTTTGGAAAGGTATGTAGTACATTTACAGAGCTTAAACTGACAGCCTTGCTTGGTCTCTGCAGTACTATGGGCTGTTTCTGTTAACCAGAACTGTCTTACATCCACTCAAGTAGATAACATTATAACAGAACACAGTAGAACACATCCTTGTCAAAAAGACAAAAAGTCTTCACCTGAATCTGTCAGATAGCAGAAGGGATTCATTAATGCACAACAGGTTGTGAATTATTTAATATCCAGTTTAGAGGAATTGCCCTTCATCCAAAAGGATAATTCATGTTGATACACTTTGTATAGAAAGGGACTCAGTGCAATGGGAGGGGATACGTGGGAAGGCAGCGTGACCTTCCACTCCTGTCTGCCTCTGCTCTGTCGTGTGCAGCAGTGGTGTGACCTCCTCAGGGCCTGTCCTCTGTTGGCTGTGAAACTCCAGTTCCAATGAAGAAACAGGCATCTATTTATGCTATCACAAGACAGAAAAACTGCCCTGACAGCTGCCCTGCCTGTGTTCCATGCTCTTTGTACCCCATCTCCTCTTAGCTACGCCCAGCAGATTCACCTTCCCAAGTCTCACCCATCCTTCCCACTCATGTGGTTGTTTAGTTGTCATGGCGCTTGCTGTAAATGCCCTTGACTTTTCCTTACCTGATGCCTTACCAGCAGTCTTTCCTACACCTGCTTTAATCTCATCTTTCGTTTCATTTGTAGGTCCTGCTTGCTGAGCTGAAAGGAAAGAATGAGTTCTTTGCCATCAAAGCTCTGAAAAAAGATGTGGTGCTAATTGATGATGATGTGGAATGCACCATGGTGGAGAAGCGGGTCCTAGCACTTGCATGGGAAAATCCATTTCTCACGCACCTTTATTGCACGTTCCAGACAAAGGTAAGGAAAAGAAACCCAGTGGCAGCAGCGACACAACACGTGTAGCCTCTGAATGGGTGCTGCTACCAACGGTCAAGGGAGAATAGCTGAGGGGATTTAACTTTGCTTCATTCTTGTTGTGCTCCCCTGCAGTAGTTCACAAGACTTGTGCAAAGTACACGTGAGTGTGATGAGGAAAACAGAATGGGATCTGAGTACATCTACACAAAGTGGAGTAAGAGGCAGTTTAATGTAAAGCCTTGACCTTAGCTTTATCATCCTCAGTGAAGGGAACAAAAATGACTGTCAGTAATGACAGACAGAAGTCAGTAAGTCTGTTTAAATGTATATTTATATTAAATCTAGAAGCCCACAGAATACACAATGAGCTCCTCAACCTCATAAGATCATGCTATTCAAATCGTTAGCAACTCTTAGGGGTGCACAAAACAGGTAAATATTTCAGGATATGAGGAATGTGGCCACTTGGTACCCAGGAGCCACATTGCTACTTACTGTGTACACAATGGCATCAGTGATGTTTCTGTTCTCTGATTATCTGCAAACAGGATCACCTGTTTTTTGTTATGGAGTTCCTGAATGGGGGAGACCTGATGTTTCACATACAAGACAAGGGGCGTTTCGATCTCTACAGAGCAACGTAAGTCCACAATGCTTCAGTCCCAATCTCCATGCATGCTTTATGGTTCTTCTGCTTCTGGTTCTAACATTTACAAAGCACTGTCATGTTTTGCTTTAAGGGATGCCTGTACATGAAGATGCTAGGTAAGCCACAACATACGCCAGCAATGAAAAAGTACAGCATTAGTGTTCTCTAGGAGAGTATTTCCATGGAAAAAAACGATTTCATAAGAAAACAGCATTGGAGGAGGCTGGGAGAATCTAGTAAATAAAATCACTAGTACAGGAGGATAGCATGCACTTCACACAAAATGTTTGTAAAAATAGGAAAGTGATTCTGTCAGTAACCTATGGCAAAGATAACTGGAGCTGAAGACTTTAAAAGATGCAAAAATATCGTATTACCCCAACTGTAACTTTTAGTTTTAGGTCAGTTTTTAACTACCTCACCCAGCAGAATGCCTGTAATTGTGTCATTGAATGGGAGAATCTCCAGTGTAACAGCATGGGGTACCCAGAAGCACCAGTGCTATTGTATAACTGGACAAGAAAATGCCTGGTGTTACTGCGTGTTGTACTGAGGAAATGCTCACTGGATTAAAGGCATACATTCTTGGGGGAAGAGAAAGCATTCCTTAAATGTTTTCCTTGGTATCCTGGATTATCACCTCCTTTTGGAAACAGAAGCAGTGCTTCTTTTCAGCCTGTGCTGCAATTGACCAAGCATAGAAGGATATAGGTATTGAGGTCTGTCTCAAATGTAGCCTTTAGTGCCCCATCACCACCCCGTGCAGTGCTGTATTAAGCTCCCAGTAACTGCATTTCAAAGACTGTTTGCGTATTTCTCTATAAATACATCCTGAACTATTAGAGAGTAGAAAAGGGACAGCATTCCACAATGAAAGAGAATTAAAGCAAGTTGCTGTCCCCACTGTTTGGCATCACAGCTGTGTGGTGAAGGTTAACTCGCAGATCATAACATCCATCTGTATAAATACAGGCCTAACATTAAACATTGCTTTGCTCCTTCTGAGTATGTAAAGGAACGTATAACACTTCTCACTTCATGAAGCTTTATGTTAGTTCTTTTGGCCAGCTGCATTGTCTCATGTTTTAACTGGGAAAGACAAACTGAAAGGCGTTTTGGTTTTTTCAGGTTTTATGGAGCTGAAATTTTATGTGGGCTACAGTTTCTTCACAGCAAAGGCATTATTTATAGGTGAGTGCCATCCAGTTCCAGCGTGGGAACTAGGAAATGCCTTAGCATTTCATGCCTCTTTGAGTTACTGATTGATGTAACAAGTAAAGGCTTTCTGTCAGACATTTGATGTTATTCCAAGGGCATTAAGATGCCTGAGATGAATTCTGTATCTTTGTGTCTTTTCCTTGGCAACCAGAATGATGGAATGTTATTTATGTTACACAAAAGCAATTTTGTCTGTTATTTTTAAACTGTCCCTTCAAATCACGAGTCTTTCCAGTTCAGTGGCAGTGGTGAGGGTCCCTGTGGGTGTCAGTTCCTGCCAGCCCTGTGGAATCACAGAGGTTGAAAGTCGTCTGCTTTTGCCATCTATGTGAAGCCACAGGATCGATGCTTCTGCCTCACCAGGTGCAAATATCAGGAACCAGATGCTCATCAGATGCTTTTTACTGTACATATCCACATGACAAGGGATCCTAAGTCTCTGAAGCACTGTTTGGTAGCTGCCTGTTCAGGCAGCTCTTATCTCTAGCAGACAACTTCTGTGTGTTTGAGAGCAAGTTGTGCATGGCCTCAGGTACGTGCAGAGATGTCCAGTAGTGACCTTCTCCCTTTACTGCTGTAAAGAAACACCTGTTGGAGCATGCTGTTATCAGCAGGAAATCTTTCCATCCCAGGTTTTGTAGAGCATTTCCAGGCCTGCTTATAAATGTCCCTACATTAAATTAGTGCTCCTACAGGGAGATTTCAGAGTATGGAATATTTTCAGAGAAACAGTACCATTTACCAACAGGACATCAGCAAAACCAAAGGCACTTTTCTTCCCCATCACACATAGGAAGTTGACCAATGTAATCACAGAACCCAACTGGAGCAGTTTTAGGTAGGTGATGCACGTCAGTGAACCCCTCTCACCCCTGCAGATGATTTTAGAACTTGCAGATAGATAAGAGCAGTGCCTTACGTTACAGTGAGCTTTCCCTGTCTCAGAAACTTACTCAGGTGAACAGCCCAAACACAGAAGGATTTACAGTGCCTTGCATTTGAGCAGGGGCTCTTGGTTCCTACTGCAGCTCACTCCTCTGGTTCATCCTGCAGCTCACCCTTGTGACAGTGTAAGTAGCTGATAATGTAAGCTTAAGCTCCTGGGGAGAAAAGACTGCCCTGTTCTCATGTAAAATCTGCTCAAGTCTTGGTAAGCAGAAGGGCTGCATGGTTTCTCTCCAGCCTGCTCTCCTCGGTATGTGCTTTTGCAGCCAGATGGACAAAAAAACACATTGCAGTCAAAGGGAGGGAATGTAGCTTTTGGAAACTGCTGTTAAAAAAGGCTCTTGCTGCGTGAGGAGTGCAGTTCTGAGAAAAGGCACCAAGAGGGCATGTCACACACAGTGGGCCACAGCACGCAAAGTGCCTTGTGCTGTGACTAGGAACAAGTCACAGGTGGTACTAAAATTGGGCAGCCTTCGAACATTGGTGCTTGTGGCAAACACTCCTGGCATCTGACAGCTTTTCCTCTGAGTTTCACAGTCGGTGCAGCACTGCTGTTAGTGGTGAGGCATTAACTCACACCTCCTTCCAGAGGCAACCGAAGCACTGAGTGGTTCTGGACATGGAAGCATGGTGAGGATTTTACGATCACTTTGTATGGACACCTCAGCCTCCTTCTTACTCTGAGGAGAAGTCTTCCTCTCTCCCTACCATCTTCAAAGTACAGGAGTTACTACTCATAGATGCTGTGTTGATGGATGATTATTTCTTTAAAAAGCCTCTTTGTGTGATGTAGGGAAGGCTGTTCTTAGCCAGGAGGAACACGCATACATCTGAATCCAAAAATGATTCACTCGTGTTTCAAACATGCTGTTTTTCTTTTATCCCCCTTTTGCAGAGACCTAAAATTGGACAATGTTATGCTCGATAAAGAAGGCCACATCAAAATAGCTGATTTTGGAATGTGCAAAGAAAATGTAGTTGGTGAGAACAAGGCAAGCACTTTCTGTGGGACCCCAGACTACATTGCTCCAGAGGTGAGTACATCAGTGCCACACACTGCTGCAATGGATTTAACGCACCCATATTTGAGTGGCCTCTGTGGTTATTCTTCCCTCTTAAGAAAAGCAGTTCAAAACTGTTTAAAAAACAAAGTAGTCTAATTAGCATAAGAAAAACATTAAATCTGAGCTTTTCTGTGGAAGGCTCATAACATTTGTAAGTGTTCTCTATCTGCACTTTACAAAACCCCGATTTTTTTTCTTCTAAAATGTAAATTTTTCAGTTGCTGAAAATCTGTAGCTTTCCCTTTTGCCTTACATGCAGGGCTCCTGCAAAATGTGTGCAGACATGCACCCATGTAAACAGCCAAAATTCAAAGAAAAATGGCTTCTGAGGAGACTCTCACAGTTAAATTCCTTGTGTTCAGAGCTGGTTTCTTATCTGAGTTGCATGATAGTCAAATAAGGTGGTTAGCTATTAAAAGCAGTACATGTCAAAGTCTGTTGGTTAATAATCTGCTTTCATTGCTGTGTGTTCCTCCATTCCCTGTTTATTACTTTGTAATGAAACCAGAGTAGATGGTTCCAAGAATGTGGCATTTAAAGTTAATGGAGAAAACTTGAGAATGAGAGCAAAGTTGTGTCCTCTGAGCTTCCAGGCAGCAGCTGAGCATAGTGCTACAGTGTCAGCAGTCCTGTCAGACAGCTGGATTTTTCCACCTCCCCAGATAAGCTCGTTATTAAAGATTCCTCTTAAACTCACACTTCTGGTTTTTTGGCACACACTTCTGCCTTTTGCTAATTAGTCACGTTTCTTCCCCTGTACTCTTTTCATGGGACAAGATTCTGCAAGGCTTGAAGTACACATTCTCTGTGGACTGGTGGTCATTTGGGGTCCTGCTGTACGAGATGCTCATTGGGCAGTCCCCTTTCCATGGGGATGATGAAGATGAGTTGTTTGAGTCGATCCGCATGGACACACCTCACTACCCACGCTGGATTACCAAGGAATCAAAAGATATATTAGAAAAGGTAAGTTGGATTATCCTGGAGTGGGTCAGCGTAGCGTATTTCTTGCGAATAGGGGTGTTCCCTATGAGCCCCATACAGGACAGGCTGAGAGCTGGGGCTGTGCAGGTGGAGAAGAGAAGGCTGCAGGGAGAGCTGAGAGCGGCCTGTCGGTACCCAAAGGGGCTGTAAGAAAGAGGGGGACAGACTCTTCAGCTGGGTCTGTTGTGACAGGAAAAGGGGAAATGGTTTCAAGCTAAATGAGGAGAGATTTAGATGGGATATTAGGAAGGAGGATTTTTTAGTTTTTGTTTTTGATTGTTGTTGAGAAGTGGTGGTGCCCCATTCCTGGGGACATTCAAGGTCAGGCTGGATGGGGCTCTGAGCACTGATGGAGCTGTGGGTGCCCCTGCTCACTACAGGAGGAGGAAGGGATGCCTTAAATGTCCCTTCCAACTCAAAAGATTCCATGATTTCCTGAAATCTCAGCTTTTTAAAAGGAGCTGCTTATCAGCTAGCAGATAACTTTTACAAATTGAAAGCCAAGGGAGGTTAGTAGTCATGCCTGTTCACCGTCAGCAGCTTCGCTTCAGCAGCACACCCATTACTTCTTCCAGTGCCACCTACCTTCTTAGCACATGGGAGACATCATTGGTTATCTTGTCTTGCAGCTATTTGAAAGAGATCCAACAAGAAGGCTTGGTGTCACTGGGAATATCAGAGCTCATCCTTTCTTCAAAACCATCAACTGGATGACCCTAGAGAAGAGGGAGGTAGACCCTCCTTTCAAGCCAAAAGTGGTATGTGGATGATTCTTTGTTTCTTGGCACTATTGCAAATGCCCTAACTATTGCAAATATAGGAGTCACGGGTGGTTTCTCTAACTTGCTTCAAGCATTCTTACTTACTGTAGTTTTTCCTGAAACCTGGAATGCTTTGCAGTCTGAAATCTTCCTTTTAAGACCACCTTCGTATGTGACCTATTTACCTATTTACCTATTTACCACTCCAGCCTTCAGGAAAAATCAGTTCATAGTTCTGAAGTCCACCCTTCTTAAATCTTCAGATCAGTGGAGAAGTGAATGTTTTCCATGCCTTCATGTTAGCACTACTGCTGACACTGCTGGGCTTTTCTCTGCTGTGTTGCCATGTTGGCAAAGAACCAATAAACTTTGGGCTGCCCAGCTGGTCCCTGTACCAGTGTGCACCAATACTACATACCTCTGCTGCTCCAAACTCATATGAGAGTCTCCAGCTGGGCAGAAGGATGTTCTTCACACTGATATTAAAGCTGTTTGCAGTGCATGTGCCTGGTGTTATCTAAAAGGAGGAGTGTGTAAAGAACAAACTGCTTTTAGTCTGCATCACCACAGGCTCTCGCTGCTTCATCTGAGCTAAAAATTGAGATCAGTTTTCCTTAACCCTGGTGCAGGTGCAGATAAATGATCTAGAGATTAAGCTGTCTTCTTAAAATGTCCTTATATACTTGGTGCAGGAATTGTTCCACTTACGAGTGGGAGGCGTTAACATAGAAGGCACTGCGGAAGTTTAAGAGTCCTGCAAACTGTAAGCTTTGAAGGTTCAGAAAGTAAAAGACGGCCTTCAGTATTTCTGAGGGCAATGCTGGGAAATTCTGGGAATTCTTGGGAAACATGCACAAATGTTAGTTTTATCCAGACACAGACAGCTGGAGGACAGCATCAGGTCTTTCTCTGAATGAATGCAGACCTTAAATGCTTTCAGGAATTCAAAAATATCTGTGGGCTTAAATGTGACTGCACTGCTTGCGGAGGCAGAGGATCCTTGGGTCATTAAGTGAAACTTCATCATGAATCCAGGTGGTTCTTTGTTCAAAGCAACACAGAGCTGTTTGTTTCCAACCACCAATCTGTAACTGCCCAGGTGTAAGTTGCTGTATTGTTTAAAGTAGGCAAAGAATTTTTTTTCACTGAACCCAGAGTGTGGGGTTGCTCTGGAAGCCAGGTTTGCAGCCCTGCCCCCAAACTGTCATTCCTTCTCTATTTAACAGAAGTCAGCAAGTGACTACAACAACTTTGACAGAGAATTTCTGAATGAGAAGCCAAAGCTCTCCTACAGTGACAAAAACCTGATCGACTCCATGGATCAGTCTGCGTTCGATGGCTTCTCCTTCACCAACCCTAAATTTGAACAGATCTTAGAAAAATAGTCCGAACAGAGCCAGACTTCCAAATGCTAGGAGCAGAAAACTGCAGTGCTCCGTGCTGTGTTCCAGTGATGTGTCAGTACTTCAGCACAGCAGCTCAGTAGTGTGGGTAATCACGTGTAACTGCTGCTGTACTGGCAGTGTTCTTTTATGCATGGCCGGGTGTGAGGTATGTGAATCACGTGCACTATTTTCTCTGTTTGGGAAAATGTAAATTGTTTGGTTACTTGAATGTAGTTATGTTTTATATATATATAAATATATAAATGTGCTGTATATTTTGCTCAAGACATTGGAGAATGGAAGATGTCTTTTTAAAAAAACATGTTTGAGCCTTGGTTCTTTTGTCCTCACTTCAAAGAAAGTTACATTAAACTTTCATTCCTCACTTTGATTTCTTTCTCGTGGACGAATACCCAATTAAACTCCAGTTGTAATTAATCTACAGTAGAAAATGATAATCATTTTCAAGTCTTTTCACTTACAAAGATAAGAAAAACTTCTAGAATTATCTGAAATGAGGAACTAACAGCCTGCAGCTGGTGGAGGCAGCAGGGCAGTGCTGCTCTGGGCACTGAGGCCCACACCCAGCAGCCCATACTGCAATTCATTAGCTGCACATCCTTGGCTCTGACAGTTAATAAATGCCTTCATCTTTACTAGGGAAACATAAGAAACAAACTCATTTCCTCCCCAGAAAGGACTTCTTAAAAACCTGTGTGTTGCAGGAACTCCTGCTGACTTTCATTTCTGCAGCACAGCCGGGCAGTGCTGTGCAACTGCAAAGCTGCTGCCAGCAGTTCCCCTCCCTGCTGCGTGCCAGGCTCCAGGGGCGGCTCTAAAGGAGGGCAAGCAGCTGCTCTGTTCTTGAGCTGTGCAGCACCGTGCCCCTCAACCAGTGGTGCTGCCCTCAATCACTTCATTCTCACTTTGCCTCTGGAATTTTCATGCCACCTCAACTGTATGTGCAAATATGTGCCAGAAGGTGGCAGGTGGAAGAGGATGCAAGACCAGTGTAGTATTAAGCTTGATTCAGACCTTAAAATACCAAAAAATGCAAAGGAAGAGTTAACAGTCTTACCTTCCTGCTCCCTTGGGCAAATCTTCACATTCTCACCTAAAAGAAGAACTGCTCCCCAGCGCTTCCACTGCTGCAGTAGCCATGGAAAAAAAACAGCAGTGCAGGGTGTAGCATTTGATCTTTATTGCTTGGATCAAATGTCAAACAATTACATTGGTCTGAAAGATTACAACGATGAAGGCCAACAACGTAAGAACAGGTAGTTTAATCTCATTCAGAAGTCTGCATCTGAGCTAGCGAGTGCATTAATCAGAAGGCAGCGGAACAGACACAAATACTACAAGACCAGGACGAGGGTTTTTACCTCCCTGTGCTGATTCGGTCAGGGCTGCATGGCAGGAAGAGTGCAGGACATGGACAGCTGCTCAGGGCACTGCTGGTGCACTGCAGTCCTCCCCAGTGCCTCCCAGACAGAAGTCACACAGCAGGTAGAATGCAGCTCGCTGCACACTTACATTCACTGTCTACACTGGCTCTCACCAGCTAGAAAGGGGTGGATGCAGTTAATGATTTAGTACCTAAAGTCCCACAGACAACTTCATAACTTTTTTCTCTTCAAGTATCAGCATAACAGTTTATTTACACTTCTATACAACCTTTTTTTTAATTATTATTATATTTTTTTTAACTCAACACCCACTTAGTAAAACACTCACAGTATATTCAAAAGCAGGCTATAAAAATACCTACTGTACGAAAAACATTCAGCTTCGAGGAATCATACAGCACCTCCGAAAGGGCAGAGAGGTCAAACAGAGAGGGGGAGGAAAGAGCAGCCTCCAGCTCACCTCTCGCGGGGGGGAACCTCTCCTTCCACCACGCTCCTCAGAGGCGCAGCCCCCTGCTTCCCCAGCCCCAGGGGCACACATCTCAAGGAGGAGCTGTGGAACGGCTCCGGTCACAGCAGAGAAGAGCCCTGCTTTCCCAAGCAAAGAACACAAAATCAGAGGGGGGGAAGCGTTCTGTGCGTTTCGCACAAAGATGGCCTTGGTTTCTATCATCAATAAGTTAAGCAGCACCGTGTGGCGCTCCTCACACAAAGCTACAAACACAGCTGAATGAAGAAAGGGCTGAGACACACACAGCTCGAGCCAGCAGCGCTCACGGCAAGTGTTCCTGGTCACCTCGTGCCTCCCCTTTCCTCTTCTGCAGTGGAACCCAGCGATGTGATATGGTTTACTTCCAGCACGGAGCAGCTCGCTGACATCAGCTTATTAAAACAAACCACGACAGCAGCACAGTATCTTACAAGTCTTGCATGAACAGAAGGCGGCGCATCCCCAGCCTGCAAGACGATGTTATGAGGACCCAGTATTTCACACAGGGATTGAACTGAGTTCTGTTGCCTTTTGTGGTAAAGGTTCGGTCACTTGAAGTCCTTAAGAATAAAGATTTAACAAACAAACAACCAAACAAAAAGACAAAAAGCACCATCCATCAACAACAAGGCAGTCCTCCTTCCTGGACAAAGCCAGCACAGCGCTGGCAGCTCACTTCAGCTGAGGGTAACACACCGAATGCAAAGCAGTTTAATACTTAGGAGGTCGTCCCCTCAACAGACATAGAGAAACCCATTTGTAGCACTGGAGTTTCATAGAGAACTACAGAATAGCAACGAAGAGGTTGCTTAAAAACAACAATAATTAAAAGACAAAAAGGCATGCAGGCCACATGACAAAGAAGTTTCACAATTTACCTGATGTTTTCTCGCATGAGCTATAAGAAAGGTGAAATGCCACCTCACCTTTCTGTACTGTTTCCTGATGTATGCGTTAGATGTGGCTATAAAGAGAAACATACGTGTTGAAATTCATCCCGAAACTGCTTCCAAATCACAGTGCTAAAAAGAAAAGCAGCTCCTGCAGCCTCTGCATCCTGAGCCCTTCCCCAGCT